ATATATATATATGTATATATCATAACAAACTACTGGGAAATAGCAGTGTACTGGTTAACAAAAATGCATTGTTTAACTGTTAAAACGCATTGTTTTAGTGTCGTGTTCTGTGGGGCTGTTCACTTGATTGTGGTGCTGAATGGAGGGTGGGCGGGGGTCATTTTAAAAACTAAAACTCTGCATGTTTCTTTCCTTCTATGGGTACTGTTGCTCGCGATCGCAAATGTAATAACTGCGTTACTGAATTCAGAATCAACCAGAGAACTGAATATGTGCTCCTGTGTATGTCCGATTAGAAAAGTATTCTACTTTTAGCTTTGAATCAATTACAACCGCTGAAAATCTGGTAAAAACTGTTTAACATTGAGAAGGTTAAACTGAGCCATGAATTTTCGACTCTCCTTTCAAGCAACTCAGTGGACAGCAGTGCGCACTCGGGATTTTATGTTTAATTAGCATAAAAGATCGAGAGCAGCAGGACTGTGCGTCACAGCCATTGGCGAAGGTGGGAGGGGGAAGGGGGATACCTATGGGAGCCAACAAACTGCAGTGTGTACTCCTTCCTCCGCCGACAAAAACAATCTTGCCTGATGCGAAATGATGACTTAGCTCACAGCGTTACAGGTGACCGGAGACAGCTGGGAATGTCTGGGTGCCGGAGGGGCGCAGCAAACGGACCTAAAACAGCCAGAGCACTGATGGAGCCGGCACTGTGAGGAGTGGGTGAATCCCCAATCTGGGAGTGCTGCCCGGGGCAAGCGCGTCACCTGAATGACGGGATATGAGACAATGAAGCAACTAGGGACGGCGGGGATAAAACGAGTCCAAATCACGCAAGTGGAAACGCGTGTGCGATGACGAACAGCGCAAGCGACAGAGAAGAGGTAAAGCAGAGAAAAGTTACTTAGTTAATTGGAGTGCCGGAAAAGAAAACACAATTTTTAAAAGAACACACACACATGTGCCAAGTGTGCGTAATTCTGTGAAAAGCAAACTGAAGAAGCAGAATTTCTTTTTCAAAAGTCAAGACTTGAGTCAGAAAAGGATAAAATCATGGAGCCGGAGGTGACCACAGAGGGCCAGGGCGCTAATATGGCACAGTCTGCCGCCTCCAAATTGTCCCAGATGGGTGAAAGAACTAAACAACTGGGCAATGTAATCCAAGACCCAGAACGACAGAAACGGATTATTCTAGTAATAGTCTGCATAGCACTTTTATTAGACAACATGCTGTACATGGTAATTGTGCCAATTATACCCGATTACCTTGAAGAGCTACAGAATGCAGCGGATCAAAGCCAAGCTGTTGCAACCAACTCCACTAATAGCACCCACAAGATCACCAAGGGGAACTTCGATCTGCAGATAGGCGTTCTTTTTGCCTCTAAGGCCATCCTGCAGCTCCTGGTCAACCCGCTAAGCGGCACGTTTATAGACAGGGTCGGGTATGATATCCCGCTCTTCATCGGACTAAATGTCATGTTTCTCTCCACTGTTATTTTTGCCTTTGCTGAAAACTACGCGACTCTCTTCCTGGCGCGCAGCATGCAAGGCCTAGGCTCTGCTTTCGCCGACACATCCGGGATCGCTCTGATCGCAGACAGGTACACAGAGGAGGCAGAAAGGAGCAAAGCGCTGGGCATTGCCTTGGCTTTCATCTCTTTTGGGAGTCTTGTGGCGCCCCCGTTTGGAGGGGTCCTCTATGAATTCGCAGGGAAGTCGGTGCCCTTCGTGATTCTGGCCTGCATCTGTCTCATTGATGGCATATTATGTCTGACTGTGCTGAAGCCCTTCTCTAATCGTGAGAGAGAAAACATGCCAGTTGGTACCCCCATATACAAACTCATGATTGATCCTTACATAGCTGTTGTGGCCGGTGCTCTGATCATTTGTAACATCCCCCTCGCTTTCCTTGAGCCCACTATAGCCAACTGGATGGAGGACACCATGCATTCCAGCCAGTGGGAGATCGGCATGACATGGTTCCCTGCATTCTTTCCTCATGTCCTAGGTGTGTATCTCACTGTGAAATTAGCAGCCAAGTACCCCCATCTGCAGTGGTTTTACGGGGCTATAGGTATGGTATTTATAGGCGCAAGTTCATGCACAGTGCCAGCCTGTAAAAACTTTGGACAGCTGATGATTCCGCTGTGTGGCATCTGCTTTGGAATCGCCTTCGTGGACACGGCACTTCTACCAACTTTGGGTTTCTTAGTGGATGTGCGCCACGTGTCAGTGTATGGCAGTGTGTACGCGATTGCAGACATCTCCTACTGCGTGGCGTATGCCCTGGGGCCCGTGGTGGCCGGACAGATAGTGCACGACCTGGGCTTCGTTCAGCTTAACTTGGGCATGGGTCTCGCCAACGTACTTTACGCACCGGCGCTGCTCCTGCTGAAGAACGTGACACAAATGAAGCCTTCTTTCTCCGAGCGAAACATGCTCCTAGAAGACGGTCCAACGGGATTGTATGATACGATTAAGATGGAGCAACGGGAGAAAAAGAGAAAGGGTTTGTGTACAACGATTGACGAGAATGGCATTGAGACCTTTGCTCAGCGCTCTTATTCAGAGGAGGAATCTTCTGGGGGAGAGTATGCGTAAAATACCTTTAGCTGGGTGTTAAACTATCCAAGTGCCAATGTAGAGTTGTCTGTATCATGTCCGATTCAATCAATTCCATAACACTATTATGATTGTGTAACAATATCAATTATTTACCGCTTCTGGTGACAAGTTCTCTGGGTTTTGTCAAATCGAGTAGGTTAAAGTTTTAGCAGAAAGGTGCTCGCTTGCGTTTCTTTATTTAAAGGTGAGATTCCTGTGAAAGATTTTGCTGAGATAAATGTATATTCATTAAGAGTATTTATCATTGTATCGGAAACTGACTCATATCGTGTTCAGGGATTGTGCAAATGTGTTTGAACAAAAGAAGAAATGTAATGCGTCTTTCACTGTAATCTGTATTGTGTGTCACACGGCAGATTGAGAAAGGTGGGGGGAAAGGTGAAATCTGCTTTTGCGTTTTATTAATTCTGTTTTTTTTTCTGGAATGCATAGGAATGTATAGCCTCACTGTATGATGATCCGCGACTGTACATAAATGTATATTCATGTACATAATTAAATCAACCTCATGCGAATGATATTGTTTATTGAAATGGTTTATTTAGGGTACAAATTGTAATTTTTATTCTGCAATGTTATTTTCCTCTATAAATGGAGATAATATATACTTAGAAAGTTATCGCAACTGAAGAGTGATATTTAAATGTGTTGTTAAAACACGAAAGTGTCTCATTTAAAGATTCTGACATGTTTTGCCCGTGGAAACAAATTGGTTTGGAAAAAAAATCTGAAATTAAAGTTTTTAAGGCCAACATATTTGTGGTGCTCTGATCCTTGACCGTGAATTTCAAATAAAGAGAAGCATTTGATTTTACAGTGAAAGTGTAACTGAAGATTTCTAGGGAAAATGTCATTGGTTCAAAATATTACTAATTTCAGAGGGTTTTATGGTTTATATGAATAATAGGCTCCATTGAAGCATCTTGTTGGTCACACAAATATCTGCTCATAATGTTAAATGGCGTCATCTGAATCGGTCAGGTGCAGTCAGGTGAAAGGAGTCGTGCGCCTAAACTGTTCTGCGTGTAGTGTTTGTAAATTCTGAAAGCCAAAGGGGGAAAAAATCCACGAAAAAAATGCGTCCTAATTGTTTTCCTGCAAAGTGCTTCAGCATCTGAGGAGCTCAGATGGCGTCTAAATAAGGTGGGGTGAGCATGTGAAGTGCCAAATAAACTTCCCGGCGAATAGCAGGACTTCTGGGAGGAGCCTGGCTGTCAAGAGGCTGAGGTACCCTCTTTTAGCGTCTCTCCTGAGCCAGCCAGGGAGTTGTGCTCATGCCGTGTAGGCAATTGAAAGATGCTTAAAATGAAGGATCGAAGCAGTGACATTTTAAAGAAATTCTGTTATAAACGGATTCAAGTAAAGATGGACCAACTAAAACTACCTTCTTGAGCTCCAGGAGGAGAGGGTGTTTTTTCCCTCGCTGGTGAGTAAAAAATTCAGTTGCACTCTATTTTTTTGTTGTTCTTGTTAGTTTCGCCTTAGTACTGGGAACATGTTTTCATCAAATGTGCAGTTTTGTAAGGCAATTTTCACTCACTTCATGAACCATCATTTTTCATCTGCAGATGAAAAATGATGGTTCTTAAATGGTTCTTCAGATGTCTTCATGGTTCTTTAAAGAGCCATCATACATCAAAGAACCTTTTTATTTTGTAGATGGTTCTTTAGCTATTACAAATGGTTCTTTAAAGAACAAAAGGTTCTTCATCCTTAGCTATCTAAGTTTGATGGTTTAAAATGGCATAAATATTTATTCACTATAATGAGGGTGTGAATTATACTGTGTGTTTTGTTTGTGTGCATGTGTGTGCGAAGGGGGAGGGCGGGTTACCTGGTGATTACCCTTTAAGAGCAGATGGTAGGAAACTGAATATTCAAATAAAGCTAGAAATACCTGCTTAAAAATATACTGGTGGCAGGGGTGGGGGCCAAAGCCTAATGAGCACACTTACCAACACACTTACTTAGTTTTGGCAAAGCACACTGCTTAGGTAAATGATCTGATGAATGAACTTGTTCATCAAATGTTTTTGAGCCGAATGACAGGAAGAGAGAGAGACGTTAGAATACGTTGTACTACGGCATCATCCCGGGAGCGGACGGAGGGGGTCAGTCGTTGGAATGGGCATGCGCAGGCAGATCGCGCGAGCGGTGGGCCTTGAACTTTCTAAGGGAAAAACACTTTCTCACGACCGGTGACAGCGAAGCGGATAACAGTCTTGAGCACCTGCTGGTCTTTGAAGATCTGGATTCTGGGAGACTGTTGGAAAAGGTAAAACATTTTCATTTCCACTGAAAGAAATGGTTCTTCAAAGAACCATTGTTTGAAAGGTTCTTTGTGGCACCAAAAAAGGTTCTTCTATGGCATCAGTCTAAAGAACCACTTTTGGTTCCAGTTGGCACCTTTATTTTTCTGAGTGTGAGTGAGGATTAAACTCGATTGGTTTCCGATTGTCACTGTGACTGACATTTATATTAATAAGTGTCGACTTTAAATAATGACTGTAGATTTTGTTTGTGGACAGAGAGTTCCTCTTGTGACTCCACCTGCTTGATTGCCCTTCTACACCGCCAACATGCCAGTTGTCGACCGAGACGCCTCCGAAGATTCAGGGGGCCGAGATGTAATTACATCTTCCATCTGCCTTATAAGTACACCGTATATGTTTTTCTCAATTCTGCAACAGATCAATTTACATTTTACGATTAAAGGTTGCAAAATCAAATAAGGCCTAACAACATTTCAGGACATAAAAGTGGCTTTCAAGGGATTACGCTGGAATTCATGGGCGATTTAATTGGAATGTGGTATTCTTACAAAAACTTAGAAATGACAGAAATTTAGAGATTAAATATTTAAGGAATTTTGTCGATTCCTTAAATATTTGCTTAATAGCATGCGCAATCCTTGCATGGGGAGACTTACGTCATGTTTAGTCAAGAATTTGGAAAAAGGAAAACTGGTGATGAGAAGTGAAAGCTTTTCATCCCGCCATGTTCTCCAGGCTCTGCCAAAGCTGCCGGTGCCCAACCTGAAAGACACACTAGACAGATACCTGAGGTGCATGAAGCACCTGCTCACAGAAGAACAGTTCAACAAGACGCAAAACATAGTGACGCAGTTTGGAGCCCCTGGAGGAGTGGGGGAGCTACTACAGAGCAAACTCACGGAGAGGAGCGAAAACGCGGCAAACTGGGTAAATAAAAATTAAAAACATAATTTTAATGTTACAAGACGTTATTTAATAAATGAAATATATGTATTTAAGAAACAAAACTCTGTGTTTTGGATGCTTATACGTTTGAAAAGTTTTAAACCAAATGTTAAAGTTTTAAACCAAATCTTGAAGACATTACTGATGTCGATAAACCTTTTAGAAAGGTTGTGAAGCATGATTCTGTTTTATCTGCTTTTAATGGTCCAGTCCCTTTATTTACATTCAATCCTGTTTGGTTTTTGCTTTTTGTTTTTCCACCATAGGTTTATGACTACTGGCTGAATGATATGTACCTGAACAACAGACTTGCTCTACCTGTCAACTCAAGTCCTGCAATGGTCTTCCCACAGCAGAACTTCAAGGCTCCTATTGACTCTTTAAGGTATGCACACCTGAGACGAGTGAACCACGAAAAAAATCTCATAGTTTGATACAACGGGACAGACGAAGCCTCTGCAATCCACTAGTAGACAGAATCATTTCTTCACTGGTGTAGAAACGGTCTCTGAAAGAAAAAAAATATCTAATTGCTCGTGTTACAAGTTGTAGGTGATTTTGGTTATTCCAGCACAAAGACTGACAAATAATAGTGAACTGTGAGAATTGCTTTTCTACCAGATTTCATTGATTATACAAATTTGAACACTTCCCTCTTGGCTGGACACTTTCAGAGGGGGTCATTACTCAGAATGCCTCGAGGTCCGAAAACTGTGGTTTGGTTGACATGGTATTGATCTGTTACCGGTTCCTTAACCACATGATTTACATGAAGCATTTATGTTGTGAAGCTACACAATTAATCAAGAAAAAAAGAGTGTGGTGGCAAAAGAGTGACCAAGTACAATGTGTGTGTTTTGTGAAGCATTAAAACTGAGCAAAGATATTCTTTCTAGATTTGCTGCACACTTAATATCTGGAGTTTTGGAGTACAAGACTCACCTTGATGAGTGAGTTAACATTTAATTCAAATTGTCATAAAAGAATATTCTTCACTTTCAGTTCTTGTGTAGAGAAAAAGCCTGAAAAAGTTGTGTATGTCTGCGTGTAGCCGTGACCTGCCTGTGGACTATGCCCGGGGCCAGCTGGCAGGAACGCGTCTGTGTATGGAGCAGTATTATCGTCTCTTCACCTCCTACCGTCTGCCAGGACCTGAGAGGGACACTCTCGTAGCACAGGAGAGTAGCGTGATGCCAGAACCTGAACATATCATCGTGGCGTGCAAAAACCAGGTCAGACTTGGAGAAAACAGACCCAGGGCAAGAGCCATTTCTTAGTTCTCCACCATATTACATGGTCTTCATTCGACGAGAGATTGGTTAGCATGTAACACAGCACATTCCAGATTTCTCATAGATATGCATTACAATTTTGTTCTTTATGTTGGAATGCAAACTTGGCACACAATCTGGGCGTAACCCCTTAATGCCCAGTGTTTCAGATTTGATACATGAAGCTTTTTGTAAGTTTTCAGTGTGATCATCTTTCCCCTTAAAAAACCTAAATAAATTGTGAAATACATTTTTAGTCTTTTTTTTAAATGTAAATAAAACATCATATGTAGGCAATTAAATTTAATCAATTTTTTTAAACAAATTTGTCAGCTGGTTTAATAAATTCTCAATTTTCAAAAAAATTGAATTTCTGGTAATTGTTTCACAGTTCACACCTTCAAGAGTTGAGGGAAACCAAATCTGTGGGCTTTTATCAGGGAGGTGAGACCTACGAAGATCAAGCATTATATTGCAGAATTTATTTAGAAGCCCAACATAGAACAAATGTCATCATGCTCTGAATGAAAACAGAACAGATCACTTCACAATAGGGGTGACACAGTGGTGCAGTGGTTAGCATTGTCACCTCACAGTAAGACTGTTACTAGTTTGAACCTACTATAGTAAGAAGAAATTTCTTTTGATGTAACTAGGTCGGGCTTTTTTGTGTGAAGTCTGCCTGTTCTCCTCATGTCTGTGCAGATTTCCTCCCACAGCCCACAAACAGACTTGTTAGGTTTGGTTGTTCTAAATTGGCTGTCTGTGATGGAAACTTGATGTTTACTCAAATTAAGATCATCAGAGCCAACTAGATTTAATAAAGAGTGTAAATAAACTAAGACTTTATTATCAGTTGAGCTAATTCAAACAGCAATTAGAAAAGAAAGAAAGAAAGACGATTTTATAATAATAATGGATTGCATTTATATAGCGCTTTTTTGGGCCCTCAAAGCTCTTTATAATTCCACTATTCATTCACTCTCACATTCATACACTGGTGGAGGCAAGCTGTCAGTCTGCCTGGGGCAGACTGACAGAAGCGAGGCTGCCATATCGCGCCATCGGCCCCTCTGGCCATCACCAGTAGGCGGTAGGTGAAGTGTCTTGCTCAAGGACACAACGACCGAGACTGTCTGAGCCGGGGCTCGAACCGGCAACCTTCCGGTTACAAGACAAACACCCAACTCTTTGAGCCACGATCGCCCTTATATTATGTGACCCACTATTTGTTACACTTGCAGTTTTTCTATGGCTTTAAACTGCTTCTGTGGGAGTCATACCATCTGTGCAGGTTCTCCTTGTTCTTTGTGGCTCTGGCTAAGTTTGGGGCTCAATGCTGCTAAAAGAATCACTTGGATGTTATTTCACAATGGCAGGAAATTCTGAAACAATGCATATGTCCACATCATTAGGAAAGTTAGTCAGTACCAAAGATTCCTAAAACTTTGTGGCTAATCTGAACCCTTTGTCCAGTTCTTTGTGCTGGATGTGATGATCAACTTCCGGCAACTGAATCAAAGAGATTTGTTGACTCAGCTGGAGAAGATTGTCAAGATGGCTGACAACGAAGAAGAGCAGCTCCCTCCTATAGGGCTTCTCACTTCAGATGGACGGACAGAGTGGGCTGAGTCTCGTAGTGTGCTAATGAGAGGTACATTTCAAAAGGAATTTTATATGGACTGCCAATAAAAACTCTCTTTTATATGAGGTGCCTCTCAGATTGACTTTTGTTTTCCTGTAGAGTCTACCAACAGGGACTCGCTGGACATGATTGAGCGTTGTCTGTGTCTCGTCTGTCTGGACGACGCAAGTGGACCTGAACTTAGTGACACCCAACGAGCCATGTTGATGCTGCATGGAGGTGGATTGACAAAGAATGGAGGCAACCGCTGGTATGATAAGCCAATGCAGGTAAGTGAACACATTTATCAACAAAAAAGGTTAAATTAATGTTTGTTTTATTAACTTTTTGTACATTGTGTGTGGAGACCAAAATTCTGAGTGATATTATTATTATTGTTTTTAAGGGAAAGAAAAGTGGATAACACGAGGTTGAAAAGGATTTAAAATCCATCAATCCAGCCATCTTCTTCCATTTATCCCACTCTGAAGAAAACGGGGGAACTGTCTAAAATAACAAAACACATGTAATGATACTAAAAGATAAGATACGATAAGATATCTAATGTCCAAAGTGAACAATATTTTTGGAGATAATTTATTTGAATTTCAGGCGCAGGACCACACCTCTACGCACGCCCCTTTCAGTTCTCTGTCAGCCCACACTGTAAAATCTAATTAGTTCCCAGAACTCAAAAAAATTGAGGTAACTCGTTGCCTCAAAAAAATTGAGTAAAGCTTAGCTAAAAATGACTAAATTAGAACAACTTATTTATTTTGAGTTCTCTGTACAAGCTCATTTGTTCCCAGAAATCAAGAAATTTGGATCAAGTTTACGTAAGATGACCAAGTTAGGGCAACTTACTCATTTTGAGTACACTGTACAGCCTTGTTAGTTCCCAGAACTCAAAAAAAAAATTAAGGAAACTCGTTGCCTCAAAAAAACTAAGTAAAGCTTACTTAAGATGACTGTTAGGACAACTTATACAGTGCAAGTCTACAGTATTAAGAATAACTTGATATTTCTGACTGTACAATACTAATTGTTTACCTACTGACAAACATTTCAAGTTCAACTAAATGAAAAAACA